CAGGATAAAGGAAAGAGGAGCACATGTAATTTGCAAAATTCATCTGAATTAGTCTAAAATTAGCCCTGCTTTGTTTTCAATCATGGCATTTGATTTTTTCTAAAATTTCTAATAATAGACAATTTCTGTATTTAGCCAGAAATATTGATTTCTTTAGGAGATCTCCGAAGGTACAAGTTCTTAAACTGTGTTCTTAGAAGCCTCTCAAAGGATAGTGGGGATACAGAGGGTGGCGGGCAGGGAACTGTGCCAGAATCAACTAGAGAAGGTCCAGTTTTATGTTTTATTTGCTTCACTTCAGTGTAAGATTTTCTTTGAAAAAGGATTCCACGGCTAGAAAACATTGAAAACCAAATCCCACTTTTATGTTCCAAGGATATTTTTCTTAAATTTTTACCCAGCCTTCCGGAAGCTAGGTCTCCACTGTCATAAAGAAATGGTAAACAGATCTTTGTCCCCAGGTGTTTGCAGGGTACATAGTAATGTGGGGAAAAAGTTCTATCCTTTCTTTCCCAAGATGTCTGATATGGCCTTCTATGTAAGATATGGGATTTGGGTTCATTTGCATGTTTGAATCCATCATTAATGGCTACTGTGTCAATCCATCTCACTAAGGATCTTCCTCACCCTCGTTAGCCCTCTACTTCACCAAACACAATGTCCTTCTCTACAAATTAGTCCCTCCTGATGACGCATCCAAAGCAAGCAGGTCGGACCATATGTTTTAGTGATCCATAAAGTTTTCGTTGGCTATTTTCAGAAGCAGACCGTCAGGCCTTTCTTCCTAATCTGAATAGTCTGAAAGCTTGGCTGAAACCTGTCCACCATGTGTGCCCTGCTCGTATCTGAAATACCGTCGCCTAGCTCACAGCATCATGGCAACATGCAAAACCTTCAGTAAATAGTTGCTGATTGAATAATTGAAGAACAAGGTACCTCAGAGACAAATAATGGGTATGAGGTCAGCCAAAACAGACCACAAAAACCAAAACAAAATCTGTTTGGCTGTAGAAATATGCCGCCATCATAAATAATTCTGCTTAAAAAAAATCTATATTTTGCATTTCACCACAGTTTATAAGCTGTTTTTTTCCTCCTTAATTATCTCGTTTGAACCTCCCAACAAGCCCAGGTGATAGAGCAAATGTCATTAATTGTCCCATTTTAAAGATGAGAAAATAGGAACCTAAAGTGCTAATTTAACTGAAAGAGTCACACAGCTGATAGAAACAGCCAGAAACAAGATCTAACCTTCTGATTAAATGTTTAGCGCTCTTTACCCCAAGCATAGTTTAAGCTGTAAACAGGATAATTGATTAGTAAATTTCCTCATATAACTATTTTGAAGAAATTGCTAAATAAAATCTTTATAAAAGAGACATGCTTTGAAATCCCCCACCCATTGAATCATCTATTCCTGTTCTACTTTTTTTCTTTTCAAATTAACTGCGTCATACAAATAATTCAAGTGGAATAGAGTTTTGATTTCAAAATCCTGATCTGGGAGTTAGTAATACTGGAAGTAACAATGACTATTTTCCTAGTTCCATATTTGAACTTGTTTAAAACTCCCAAAGTCATCTGTTATTAGTTTTGACTGGTAGGGATGGCAAATCATAAAATTACAGATTTTATAGCTAAATGGAATCATAGAGAATCTCTAGTCCAATCTTCTCACATCAGAGAAAGTCAATAATAATTCCTCCCTCACTGGAATCCAAATGACTCAAGTGATCGTTTAAATAAATTAGTGTCATGTATTTGATAAATAATTATACATATATTTAATGAAAACTGTCAAAATATCTGTTGTACCCTGTCCAGGACCTATTTATATGGACATATTTATGTTCAACCATTAGCAATTTATAATTAAACTCTGGTACATCAAGCTACAACCTTACAAACAGATGATCTGAGGAGTGAATTAATGTTTGTAAATGGCTAGAAGAGAGCAAGTGTCATTAATTATCCCATTTTAAAGATGAGAAAACAGAAGCTTAACGTGCTCATCTAACTGAAAAAGATACACAGCTGATAAGAAACAGCCAGAAACAAACCCTCTGATTTCTTGTTTATCGTTTCTATCCAGGGCTTTGAACCAGTTTGTTATTTGCTGGCGATCGTGAGGATGAGGCAGGACTGGGCAACATTTCGTTTATAAGGGTCACCATGAGTCTGAGTCCACTTTACAGCAGCTACCTATCTATCTCTGTTATACTCTAAACACCATAGAGGATCCAAAGATCAATAACAGCCCAAAGGAGCAGTTCGTCGTTTTCTCAGCTTTTCTGATTATTTTCCATCTGCCCTTGATCGGACACTTTTTTTTTTTTTTTTTTACTTCCCCGTTACTTAATTTCATTCAGTGGTCACCAAAATGGGTGCACAAGGCAATTCATTTTGTGCAAGAACAAAATACTACAACTTCTATTCCAACTTTCTTTTTATCCTTTTTCTGGTGTATCTTATTATTTTGGATACAATTTTAAACTTACAGGAAAGTTGAAAAAATAATAGAATTCCCATATATCCTTTACCTGGATTCATCAGTTATTACTATTTTACCCATTGCTTTATCCTCCTACCCCTGACCCCACTAGCATGCTTCATGCGGCTTTCCCTCTCTCTCTATGTATATGTGTACGTGTATCCATGGCTGTACATATACAGGCAGTCCCCGGGTTACGAACATCCGACTGACGGACCACTTGTACTTGCCCTTCAATGTTATGTACATTTGCCTCACTTTGAAGCGATTGAACCAACTCCTGCTTGTAACAAATTCTTCATCGCAATCCCCTTCACTGGCTGCACATGCAGCTTTTAAATCATCGTAAAGGCTTCGAGCTGTTTCTTGCACTAAAGTAAGGCTAAATAGGAACTTTATGCACCTGTTTCTACTTACCTATAAATTCGACTTAGAGACTTAAGTCACAGTTAGGAATGGATCTCATTCATAACCCAGGGACGGCCTGTATACACACTATTGTACCCCACTGCACTTAAATACTCCAGTGAATATTTTCTAAGAATAAGCACCTTCTCTCACTTAACCATGGTACGGTAATTGAAATCTGGAAACTTAGTGTGGATCTGGTTGTTGCTGGCTGCTGTCTAGCTGGCTCTGACTCGTGGCGACCTTATGCATAACACAACAAAATGTTGCCCAGTCTGGTGCGAGCTTCATGATCGTTGGTATGTTTGAGCCCATTGTCGCAGCGATGACGGATACCGTACTATTATCTAATTCACAGTCCATATTCAAATTGCATTAATTTCCCAATAATGTGCTTCATAGTTATTCTTTTCTCCCCAGGGCGGGATGACACATTACATGTGATTGTCATTTCTCTTTGGTCTCTTTAAATCTAGAACTGTCCTTGAAATCTGGAACAGCTCTTCACTTTGTTTTGAAGAGTACAGGCTAGTGATTTCTCTCAGCTTGAGGTTGTCTAGGGTTCCTCCTGGTAGATTCCAGTTGTGCGTTTGCGGTGGGAATACCGCAGAAATGATGTGTGTTCTTCTCAGTGCGTGTGATAACTGTTTATCCCATGACTATGATGTCAGGTTTGATCGCTTGTTTAAGGTGGTTTACCAGGCTTCTCCACACTTTGCCCTTTCGCGCTTAGTAAGTCATTTGTGGGGAGATACTTTGAGACTATGAAAATATCTTGTTCCTCATTGAACATTCCCCCAGTAATTTTAGCATTCCATCTCACCCTTTTAAGTATCTCAATTTGAATGTGCTTTATAATGTGCAAAATATATTAGTATAGTAGCATATATGTATAATTTCTGAGTGCACACATACATAGGAATATCTCAACTTCTAGCAGGGCTGCTAGGTGGGTTCGTACTGTCAGCTTTTTGGTCAGTGGTTGAGTGCTAACTACTTACGCCAACCAGAGACCTTTTGTTAATTAGGGCTTCAGTATATCTGTAAGGACTAGGGGGAAACAGAAAAAAAAAAACCTACTGCTGTCGGGTTGATTCCGACTCATAGTGACCCTAATAGGACGGAGTAGAGCTGCTCCATGGGGTTTCCAAGGAGTACCTGGTGGATTTGGACTGCTCGCAGTCGTAGCTCTTAACCACTATGCCACCAGGGAAAGGTATGGAAAATAGTATCTATAAAGAAGGAGGTGGAATTCTTTAGTTGCAAGAAGCCTAGTAAAGATTTGCTAAGCTCAGAAGTAGGAAAACAAAGGAAGAGAACAGCTAAATCTTGGAGGGCGAAGAAGGCAAAGATTAGGTAAGCGGCACACCATACTTCTCTTACCTACAAGACAATAGGCGTGTCTTCAATTAAAAAATTATAAACGGATTCTGCTTTCTTCTTAAATTGTCATTTTTATAATGTGTTGTACTCATAAAAAGATCACTTTTTAATTTTTTTTGTACTGTTGAAGGAACTTTGGGCTTTCTGTGTGTGTACATAGTGTTTTGAATGTGCCTAGTAAACTCGGCTGCTAACCGATGGGCAGTTCAGATTTACCAGGCGCTCCTTGGAAACCCTATGGGGCAGGTCTACTCTGTCCTACAGGGTCCACTATGAGTTGGAATTGACTCGACAGCAATGGGTTTGTTTTTTCAGTAGGAGTGCTAGACTAAAATAAAGGGATCTAAAACTTGTGAGGCGTCCCTGGTGGTGTAAACGGTGAACGCATTTTGCTGCTAACCAAAAGGCTGGTGGTTTGAGCCCACCCAGAGGTGCCTCAGAAGAAAGACCTGGCGATCTACTTCCAGAAAAAAAAAAAAAAACAGCCGTTGTAAACCCTGTAGAGCACAGTTCTACCTGACACAAGGGATTGCCATGAGTTAGAACTGACTCGACAGCAACTAGCGAAAACTTGTGCAGCTGGGAAAATAAAAGTTATTGGAAGCAAGTAGATGTGGTAAAAATGGGAACTTTTATTTCCATTGTGCTATTACGATGTAATTTAATATTTTGCATTAAAGTGTGTACTCCTTCCTCCTGTGCCCCCCTGAATCTTCAGAAAGGAGCTCATTGCCAAGCTGGATCAGGCGGAAAAGGAGAAGGTGGATGCTGCTCAGCTAGCCCAGGAGTACGAGGCGCTGATGGAGGAGAACCGGACATTGAAGCTGGCTCAGTCGCAGTGTGTAGAACAACTAGAAAAACTTAGAATACAGTATCAGAAGAGACAGGGCTCATCCTAACTTTAAATTATTCAACGGGAGCTTTAGAGGTTAGTGCCTGCTGTGCACTCGCCAAAAGATTTTTATTTCCAAGGGATAAGAGTAAAATCTATCATAGCTTTATTACCCACATGGCAAAGGCCTATGAGGAGTCTAATGCTTGCCAGCTTCTAGCCTGAGAGAAAGGATCTTTTAAGTAAGATAATTAAATGGAATCTATTGCCATTATATGTTTTCAGAGATCGGAATTCTTTTTCAAGGGTATTTTTTCTTATTTAGGAAGATATGATCAGACTGTCCATCAGGGTAGATGATAAAAATAGAGTATTAAGTGGTCCCACTAAGAATCATGAGCAGAGCAAAGTTAAACCATGAAACTAGCTAGTGAAATGCTCACTGCAGCCCACCATCTGTGTATTTTAAAACTTCACGTCTTTGATATTTCAAATGTGCTCGAACCTAAACCGTCAGAAACGTCTCCGTATATATTTATGTTCACCAGCGTCAGATTTAATCCCTCAGTGATTGAGTGTACTCAGAATAAATGGTTGCATATCCAAAAAGCTTTCTCATGAAAAGATGAGCAAGAAAGCAGGTTTCAGTGCCAAAAGCACATTTGCCAGTGCTAACTTGCTGTTGTAATAAGAAAGTTAAGGCTGCATTTTCTTCACGCGATGTTACCTCACGCTTGACATCTCTGCCCTCGCTTGCTGGCGTACGTTCTAGGGGCGCGGGGGAAATGGAAAAGTATCATTTGGACATGACCTTGGTGAGCTCCCATGAGAACATAGTGAAATTACAGCTACCACTTTGCTTTGGATTTCAGGAGATGTTTTGGATCAGTAATAAGTCATAGGAATATGTGAGTAAATTGAGGATTAAAATGATTTTTTTTCCCCTTGTTCTACCTATCACTATATTTTCCCAAATCGATCTCTTCGTTATACGTCCATTTCTGTTCATGTAACTTTTTTCATTAAACATGGATCAAAACTATCAGTTTGTGTTTGCCTCTTTCTTAACCCCTGTAAATGAAACAATGGGATTGCCTGACCCTAGTCAAACATTGTTCTTAGCCATACTTACATGTCCCAGAAAAGGAGTGAAGCCTCCTTTCTTGGAAAGGTCTGTGGTTCCTCACACAAACAACTCAGAGCTTTCATACGGAATAGGATGCCTTTTTGTCTTGAGATATTTATGCAGACACTATTTAAAAAAAAACAAAACAAAACTGGATTAACAATAAAATGACCTGGGATAGACCACTGTTTCTCAGCTGGGGTGATTTTGTCCCCCTCCTCCAGGGGACATTTGGCAATTTGGCAGTATATAGAGACGGTTTTGTATGTCAAATGGGGTTGGGAAGGGCTACTCATACAGAGTGGATAAAGGCCAGGGATGCTGCTACACATCCTGCAATGCATAAAACAACCCCCAAAACAGGAGTTATCCAATCCCAAGTAGTGCTGAGATGGAGACATGCTGGGCTAAACGCATCACTGGGGAGTTTGGACAAATGCCGAGGGAAGCACCATGCAGGGCCACCTGTTTCTGGCAGTGGGGCGCAGTCTGCAAGTCCCTGAAGCATCCTGGCCTTTGTTTTCCTCGTTTGTAATATGAAGCTTTTCAATAGCTCTTAAAACATTCTCTCCAGTTTTAATGTTTGTAAGCCTGTTAGCCCTGAGGCTCCTGAAACATCTGACCCAAGCTGAAGTCTCTGTTGTTCTGGCAGAACCTTCTTTCAGAGTAACCTCAAGGCTTATAAATACTAAAACAAAGGAGGGTTTATTCACTAAATTTATACAAATCCAGGCTTAATGGAATGGGAGGAAGAAGGGTAAGTTACCAACCTTTCAATACAGGGATGAGCTTTTGGTCTCTAGCCCTGCATTTAGACGCCCATACATGCTGTTACATACATCTACAGAATTTAAACAGTCACGGTCCTTCTAGAAAATGGGAATCAGAGAAACATAGTTCCAAAATCTCTTTGCTCTACCAGAATGAAACCAATGTGGTTAAAATGTTTGAACAGCACTGGTTTATATTAAAGAGTCACTGAGCGCATAGTTTTCATACCTGTGCTAGTCTCAGCCTGAAATTGGGCAGTGTGTTTCCAAAAGACATATATTTGCAACTCAGAAGCAAGTATATGCCTAAGTGTGTGACTTTCCAGCAGATTTTTAGTAATTAAAAACATGAAAATATCTTCTACTTTCATAGTATGTTCAGAGAAATCAAAAGGCAAAATATCTTACATTATCAGTATCATCTTTTCATGCATTTGGCAAGTTCCACCAGTCTTCTTTATCACACTGCCTATTGTCTATATCCCGTTGCCGTTGAGTCGATTTCGACTCGTAGTGACCCCACAGAGCAGGGTAGAACTTCCCGTAGGGTTTCCAAGGAGCGGCTAGTGGTTTTGAATTGCTGACGTTTTGGTTCGCCACCAAGCTCTAAACTACTGTACCACTAGGGCTCCTATTATCTATGTAACATACAATTTAAGAGTTTTCTATCTTCAAACATTTATAATATTCTTGATATTCACATTAATAATAATTATGCATGGAGCATTCGAAATGAGCACAAAGGTTCTGTAAGTATTAGGGTGAAGGAGATTGCTTTTGAGCTAGAATTAAAGGAAAATATAACCCACTATCTTCTGCAATTGCTCTACCAAAGAATTTGCTATTTTGGGATCATTCATTTTGTGTAGACGTGAAAAGAATGTGGTTACGGATGGCTAGAAGTCAACTCTCTCACCATTGGTCTCGGCAGAGGGTGTTTATCTCATCCTGGTACTTGGTCTTGGATGTATTATTAACTCAGTGCAAATAAAGAACTAAAAGGGATTGGCAACTCAAGTTCAACAAAAATGTATTAGACACTTACCATACCAAAATCAAAAAACCAAACCCGTTGCCATTGAGTTGATTCCAACTCATAGCCTCCCTATAGGATAGAGTATAACTGCCCAATAGAGTTTCCAAGGAGCAGCTGGTGGATTTGAACTGCAGACCTCTTGGTTAGCAGCTGAGATCTTAACCGCTGTGCCACCAGGGCTCCATCACATTTACCACAGAGGATGCAAAATGGAAGAAGACATAATCCACCCTCAATATGTTTTCTGATTTAGTAACAGGAATAGCACTAGGACTCTGGCTTCTGGAAGCCAAGAATAATTATAAGCGCAGTAAGATAAATGCAGTTTACAGTAGGGTTCAAAGAAGGAAGGAATAACATGAGCAGAGACACAGTGCTGGAGAATCACAAGGTAAGAGCCCCACATTTGGTTGCAGTAAGTAGTCTTCCCTTACAAGAGTATATGTAAGGGGATAGGGAGAAATTAAGCTGGAAAGTTCCGCCAGGACCTAGTGGTGGGGGGAGTTTGGACAAAATAAATATTTTGAAAAGGGGAGTGAAGGGTCAGGGCTGGACTTGAAGAAAATTCGCCTTAGAGCAGTAGCAACTGAAGTAACAGACTCCCTGGGTGGCACAAATGATTAAGTGCTCGACTATTAGCTGAAAGGTTGGCAGATTGAACCCAGACAGAGGCACCTTAGAAGACAGGCCTGGTGATCTGCTTCCAAAGCTCACAGCTTTGAAAGCTCTATGAAGCAGTTCGGCTCACGGGATTGCCACGAGTCAGACAGCAACTGGCAACAACAACAGAAACAGACTAGTAGGGATGGGAAAGGCGTAGGAGAAGTGGAATCTGTGTGACTTGGAATGGACTGTGTGTTGGATTGAAGCAAGGAAGGTGAAGAGAACCAACATTTAATGAGCCCCCTCTTTGGGCTACATGCTTCGTATAGGCTGCATTATTTAATTCTTACAACAACCTGTAAGGTAGCTGTAATTATCCCCATTCTCCAAAACCAGAAACTAAGTTTCCGTAATTTGTACAATGTTTCCCAGAGCTGGGATTCAAACACAAGATTTCCTTCCTTCAATAAAGGCTGACATTGCTTAGGGGACACTGAGCTTCTGTGAAGAATGATGGAAAAATCTGGAAACAAGGGTGTTGTTTGGACAACATGATGAACATAACTAATGTCACTGAATTGTACATGTGAAGAATGTTAAAATGGCAAACATTTTATTAAATATATATCTGTATTTGTAGAGGGTCAGCGGAAAAGAAGAAGACCCTCAATGAGATGGGTTGACACAGTGACCGCAACAATGGGCTCGAGCATAGCAATGATTATGGAGGATGGTGCAGGACTGGGCAGTGTTTTGTTCTGTTGTACGTAGGGTCACTATGAGTTGGAACCGACTCAATGACACCTAACAACAACAACACCACACACACATATATATTTACCACAATTAAAAAAAACTGAATGTCTATGCCTTGCTAGACATTCTGACAAGTTCCAGGGACAACAATGATAAACAGTACAAACATGGGTCCTTAGTGAGGGAGGTAGACGTTTACCTACTTACCCGGAGTAGCTCTAAAATATGCCAGAAAAATTCCTTCAAAAGGTGGAGCCTAATTCCTCTCCCCTTGCGGGTGGGTTGGATTTAAAGATTGTTTCTAATAACAGAGTAGAGCAGGATGACTCTGTGTGACTTCCAAGACTAGACCACAGAAGACATTGGGACTTCTTTCTCAACTGCTCTTTCTTGGATCACTTGCTCTGGGGTAAGCAGCTGTCGTGTTGTGAACAGAGTCCTGTAGGTCTATGGAAGGGCCCACATGGTGAGGAACTGAAGCCTTTGGCCAACAGCCACACGAGTGAGCTTGGAGGCAGATCCTTCAACCCCAGGCAAGACTTCAAACAACTGGAGCCCTGGCTGACATCTTGTACAACCTCCTGAGAGACTGTTGGCCAGAACCACGCAGCTAAACTGCTCCTGGTTCCTGATCCTCAGAGACTTTAAGATAATAAATGTTTGTTGTTTCAAGCAACTAAGTTTTGGGATAATTTGTTACGCGGTAATAGGTAAAAATACACCAAACAAATGAGGTAAGTGCTAAAAAGGAAAGAAACCCAGTTTACGAACGTGCA